TGTGTATGCCAATATTTTTTTTTCATTCGGATTCGGAGCAAGCACCTGCAGTATTAAAGCAGGCGCGAATCCTCTAAAGTGGGTTCCCATGCGGTCCCCTGCAGTGAGCTCTTAAGTGGTCTATATTTGACCACATGCTTCCATTTAATAGTTCTTGAGACCGTGTTTGACAATTACACCACTATTTATAAGTAACATTTTACCATCATTTATAAATAACATTATAGAAGTCTAAAAAGTAACATCACTATTTGTAAAAGGGTAACATCACCACTTAAAAAGTAATTGTTATTGACAGTCAAATACCTAATAATCCCCTTCAAAATCCTCTTTAAATTAACATGTGACTATTTTTTTGAATGTTCTATTTTTTATGATAAAATTTAACTTAAAAAATATATAAATAATATGTTCAATTGTGTTAGATTTATGTGTGGCTATTAGTTTTTCAGCACTATGTGAATACCTTTTTTTGATGGTGAAGGTGATGAGTGTGGCAATTAATATTAAACTTTGTCAAATTTTAGATTTATGTGTGGCTATTAGTTTTTCAGCATTATGTGAATACCTTTTTTTGATGGTGAAGGCGGTGAGTGTGACAATTAATATTAAACTTTGTCAAATTTTTTCTTTTGATGGTGAAGGTGGTGAGTGTGACAATTAATATTAAACTTTGCCAAAAAAATTTCAAAGATATGTTAAATAATTTAAACCTAAGTTTATTTGGAAGAAAAAAAAAAAGGATGTGCTCTTTTTATTATGTTTGGAAACATCAACTGTTTTGTTTATTGTCTAAAGTTAATTCAAGTGACTTTAATTTTGATTTAAATTCTTTAAATTAACATGTTAAAGTATTTTTAAAATACTTTAATTTCAAATAATAATATAAATGACATGTTAAATTAAGTTACGTTTATATGTGACATTACTTAATCCGCATTATGTACATAGCTTCTGTTTTTTTTTCCTAGTTGGTACTCACACACACTGTCTCCACTGAGGTTCGAACCCTTGACCTCCTTTTGGGAAGTAGGGGTCATGTACCGCTAGGCCACAGGCCTGTTGGTCATTATGTACATACCTTATTTTGAGGGTGAAGATAGTTTTCACTTTATGAGGTATTTGGCTGTCAACAACTTTTATTTTAAGTGGTGATGTTACCCTCTTACAAATGATTGTGTTACTTTTTAGATTCTTATAATGTTACTCATAAATAGTGGTGTAATTGCCAAACACGGTCTCAGTATCTTTTAATTGAAGTAGCACGTGGCCAAATATAATCCACTTACAGCATAGGAATTGCAAAAAATCTCACTTTAAAGGATTTGCGCCCGTATTAAAGCAGTCTAACCTAAAATACCTAAAATTTGGGCTTGATTAATCCGGTTTACAATTAAATGATCATTGAGAAGTTAGATCATGATCAGTCAGCTTTTTTATCTTCAAAACATGGGAAGAACCGGAAAGAAAAAGAAGCTTACATTAAGGTACGGAGTTAGAATTTTTGTTCAGGGGCCCATTATACACTAAATAAATATAAATTAATATTTATGGAGTATATATACATAAAAAGAAATAGTTGGATAAATATAGATAGAGATTAATATTTTTGGAATTAGGCAATTCAATAAATTAAATATATAGAATATAATGAAACAATTAAAGAAGAATTTTTTTTTTAAGGAACCATATGGAGTATATAAGGGAAGGAGAAATTTGAGGAGGGCACTTTTACACATTTTCAAAAAATATATACCTATTATAGAAAAAGAAAAAAATTCAAGGGGAGCATATTGTCACGCCCCGCCTATGGAGGTTGTACCACGCAGGTGACACGCAGACGCTAAGGAGGACGCTGCATGGCAACTGCATGGCAAGTGGAGTTTCTAGAGTCTTCCGGAGTAGTCTAGAGTTGTGTGGAAGATTCTAGATATGTGTAGTATATTCTAGAAGTGTGTGGAAGGTTCTAGAATTCTCCAGAATTGTGTGGAATAGTATGGAGGGTTCTAGAATGTTGTAGATATGTATGGAGATGTGTAGAAGGTGGAAGAAGATTCTAGATAATTAATCTCCACCGTTGGTTAGAATGCATCCTAGCCATCCATTAGGGATGGGGATGCCTATAAATAGGAGTAGGACTTCATTTTGCAAACAACAAGTCCTAGAGTGAGTCTTGAGAGCCTTGTAGAGAGCTTGAGTGTTAGCCTTGTACAAAGCATTCTTTGAAGTAATAGAAGTGTTCTTTCCTTGCCAACTTAAGTGCCTTAGTGTGTGTGAGTGTGCAAGCCAAGTGAGGAGAGGGCGAGGGCAACTACAACACTAGTAAGCGCACGAGGGGAGTGTGTTGGCTAAGGTGTGCACGGGAGTTAGGCTGACCAAGTACTTGCGAGAGTGAAAGCAACGTCTTGGTGCCGCACGGGAGCAGCTAGAGTGGTGCTGAAACTCTAAGCCCGTGATAGTTGGTATCAGAGCAGGTTCGTCAAGGGAGCTTTGTTGGAGTAGACATGGCTAGCGGAGGAGACCACCAAGTCCACATCTTAGAGCAGAGCTTGGAGGAGAAGCTTGCCACACACTTGGTCTACACGGAGACCAAGTTTAATAGGCTCGAGAGAAGGATGGCGGAGCTCTACGAGCTGATTGATGGCATCGCCAACAAGGCGCAAGAGAAAGAAAGGGACTTGCATGATTTGGTAGACGACTTGCGCGTGGAGATTGCCGAGTGCAAGAAGGAGTTCTCCCAGGCGCACGAGGTCGTGGTGAAGCCAAGGAAGAAGAAGGCGCCGGAGCCCAAGGAGTACGATGGGGCAAGGAATGCGCGCCAGATTGACAACTTCTTTTGGCACATGGAGCGGTACTTCGAGTGCATGGAGATCGAGGATGATGAGGAAAAGGTGCAGACAGGCACTATGTACCTCACAGACACCGCCGCTCTATGGTGGAGGCAGCGCTTCACTGGTAGAGGCGCAAGAGCAGTTGACACATGGGAGGAGTTCAAGAGGCAGCTCAAGAGGCAGTTCTACCCTGAGTGCGTTGAAGACCTGGCCATGATCAACCTAAGGCGCTTGAAGCAGAAGGGCAGCATAAGGGAGTATGTGAAGGAGTACTCCAATTTGATGCTGGAGATCCCAGAGATGCCGGAGCGGCAACGCGTGTGCTTGTTCATAGATGGGCTGCAGTCTTGGGTGGCCACGGAGCTAAGGAGGAGGGAGCCTAGAGACTTGGCATCCGCAATGGCTATAGCGGAGCGCCTCGAAGACTTTAGGCGCGATGACAAGAGGGCCACGTCTCCCAGGAGGGACCACGGCAAAGGTGGGGGAGACCAACGCTTCAAGAAACGGGGCTCGCCCAAGTCTAGTGATGATGAGCACAGCGATGAGGAGAGACGCCCACGCCATGATAAGGGCAAGGACCATGGAGAGAGGTCCAAGGCTAGTGGCAAATGGGAGCGCCGCGATAAGGGCAAGTGGGAGCCGAAGTGCTACTTGTGCGAAGGGCCGCACATATTGCGACACTGCCCCAATAAGAAGACCATGAGCGCCCTTGTGAAGGATAAGGGCAAGGGCAAGGTGGATGATACGGGCAGCGACGAAGACAGGTGCATGGGGGCTATGCAAATGCTGAGTAGCATGGCGCATGACACCAAGAAAAAGGGTAAGGCGAAGAAAGTAGCTGGGGTGCGCTATGTGGATGCGCAGGTTGGTGGCAAAGCCGTGCAAGCGTTGGTGGACACGGGCGCCACACACAACTTCATTACCCCAGAGGAGGCGCAACGACTTGGCTTGGAGATGCGCAAGACGGAGGGATGGATCAAGGCCGTCAACTCCGAGGAGGCACGCGTGAGTAGAGTGTGCAAAGAGGTGGAGCTATGCTTGCAAGGATGGAAGGGCAAGGCCGACTTCCAAGTTGCGGAGATGGACGACCATGACATGGTGCTGGGGCTGGAGTTCATGGACAGGAACAACGCCGCGCCACTACCATGCCTTGGTGCGTTGATGATACTTGGAGACGAGGAAGGCAAGGCCGCATGCATGGTGCCGCTCGTGGGTAGGAAGGAGAGTCCAGAGGTGGCAGTCAACACGATGGAGCTCGTGAGGACTTCACATCTCCCGAAGGGCGCTCGTACGTTTGGGCCAAGGACATATGCGCAAGTGCTGATGACCTGCGAGAGGCTGGGTCAGTTGAAGAAACCGTGACGAGGGCGTCACGGAAATGGGTGGGGGAGAATGTCACGCCCCGCCTATGGAGGTTGTACCACGCAGGTGACACGCAGACGCTAAGGAGGACGCTGCATGGCGACTGCATGGCAAGTGGAGTTTCTAGAGTCTTCCGGAGTAGTCTAGAGTTGTGTGGAAGATTCTAGATATGTGTAGTATATTCTAGAAGTGTGTGGAAGGTTCTAGAATTCTCCAGAATTGTGTGGAGTAGTATGGAGGGTTCTAGAATGTTGTAGATATGTATGGAGATGTGTAGAAGGTGGAAGAAGATTCTAGATAATTAATCTCCACCGTTGGTTAGAATGCATCCTAGCCATCCATTAGGGATGGGGATGCCTATAAATAGGAGTAGGACTTCATTTTGCAAACAACAAGTCCTGGAGTGAGTCTTGAGAGCCTTGTAGAGAGCTTGAGTGTTAGCCTTGTACAAAGCATTCTTTGAAGTAATAGAAGTGTTCTTTCCTTGCCAACTTAAGTGCCTTAGTGTGTGTGAGTGTGCAAGCCAAGTGAGGAGAGGGCGAGGGCAACTACAACACTAGTAAGCGCACGAGGGGAGTGTGTTGGCTAAAGTGTGCACGGGAGTTAGGCTGACCAAGTACTTGCGAGAGTGAAAGCAACGTCTTGGTGCCGCACGGGAGCAGCTAGAGTGGTGCTGAAACTCTAAGCCCGTGACAATATGCCCCCCTTGGTCCTATACTGGCTCCGTCCCTACTTATATTAACATTTTTAATGAACTTTTGTCCTTATTTTTATAAAATAAAAATTTATGAAATGATTTTTATCATTTCCCTTCTTTTCATAGCATCCCCTCCTTTCCGTTTCGTCTCTTTTCATTTCCACGGTACCAAACAACTTCAGTTCTGTTCGGTACTCCAAATTGTCTTTCAACAATTGTTGGAGGCTTCGTGATCAATCATCAGAATGGTACCATTCTGTTCCATCCATAGATTGTCAGCATCAGGTATTTCATTCCACGTTTTATTAAATCAATCAAAATGTCTGTCATTCATCCCATGTCTGTTTTCCTTTGATTTCTGTTTGTTTCTCGGAAATCTTCGATAGAAAATTAAAAAAGAAAAGATTTATAAAATTTCTTAACTTATCGAGCTAGTTATGAACAATATATTTTTCTTTCCCTAATTGTTTTCAATAACTGAACTGAATTTCCGTTCTTTGTTACTTTTCTTTTCTTTCCATTCCAAATATTAGCCACACGTACATAAATTTTTCCGTTTTAGGTAAGAGTTCGTCGAAAATTTGCTAGCTTAGAAATTATAAGAACTAGTCAATTAATTGTTAAAGTCGCTCATTTTGTTCTGATTGCACAGAAAAAGTTAACATGTATGTATGTGTGTGTATAATCCTAAATTAAAAATTAATTATTCAGTGAGGAGTGTATATAATCGCATGCCAAATATTATAACAAATTCATTAAATTGCTATGTTATTGGTTCTTTTCACTGATTTGTTATATGTAATAAATAAAAAAATTAAATTTATGGTTTTGTTCCATGAGATGGATTGGTCATAGAAAGCTTGGTTATTCTTGGTACTTGACTATGTTAAAGGAGAGTATTATTAACAATTTAATATCATTATTGAATTCTATGGCATTCTCGATGATGCAACTGCGTGGGCAAGAGAACTCAGAGCAAATTACACAAGTTTTACTGTTCCCCGCTTGTATCTTTTAATGCAGTGTATCGGCATTGGATAGATTTTTTTCTTCCGAAATGCGGTGAAAAATTAAAATAAGTTCTTGCATTTTAACAAGATTGCCAAATTCATCTGGCTTGGTAGCTTTATTGTTCTTATGCATGGTAATTTGATAGCCATGGCTATATGAGCTTGATGTACCTCAAAAAATACAGTACCTTTTAATTTATCATTTACAAACCATATCCATAATTGTGAAACTCACTTCAAAATGCTAGTAATAATAGTAAGTAAACAGGTTCCAAAATTACACTGAAGCCATAGTCTTCAATCAAATAGAAACACACACATTTAATAGATCTTTCACGATCTCGTCTACAAGTCCATTGAGCACATGCCTTTCCACATCCCTTATAACGTCATTTTTTTCATGAAATGTGAACATCATCTCGTTCCAACTGAAGTCCCACATACTGTTCACATCTGGATCTCTGTCTTGGATGTCTCTTTCAAGCAGTTTATGGAGGTAGTCAGCAGCGTCATATTCGTTACTCCCGTTGCTACCATAGAATCTTGACCTTTCCAAGTCTTTGTACAAATGTTTTACCAGATGATCCAAAGAAGATATCTTCACAGAACTGATTGATATCTTCACAAAAGGATGAATAGCGAGCTCTTGTCTTCTTCCTTTTCTTTTCATTACTTCATAGCAGCAGTCTAGGATGATTCTGCTTTCTTCATCTTGACTATAATAGTCACTGCCCTGAAGAATGCCAATAGGTATGTTGAGTTTGAAAAGGGCCTCTGCTGTGTTAAGAAATAGTTGACTTTTTATCAGTATCTGCTTGAGATCTGTTTCCCATTCTGTCAATAGCACTTGTTTCTCCGATTTGGAAACTTTCTTGTGATCATTTTGTGAAAAGTCATAGATTCCTATGCCTCCTTCATTGACTCCTGCAACATCTAAGGAATCAGCTTTAGTTACTAATTTTATCCATGAATATATTGTCATTTATGTGTGTGTGTGTTGTGGGGAAGGTAAGAACATATAAAATGTAAAGCTAGCCACTACCACCAGCTTTCTTACTTAGGAGGTCTTCTGCTCCTTGTTTAGAAAGGTTAGGTACAGGCATGGAAATGGGTGTTTTATGGGTAGGGAAGGACTACTTGCTGTGTAATCATGCCATTAAAATTATTATTAAAAGAAGAAGAAGAAGAAGAAGAAAAGGTGATAGGCCTGAACCTTTTATACTTACCATTAATTGGACTTGGTACAGTTTTGTGAGACTTCTTTTCTTGATCTTTGCTGAAAGCAGGTAGTTGGTCTTGGCAATCAATAGAAACTGTAGAAAGTTCTGAGGTTCTGTTACGACACTGCATAACATCCAACAAAGCGTAACGTGAGGTTGCTGCATATTTTTAGAACTATGCAGTTTTGTAAGAAGTAGTAGATTGCTTTTTAAATGATAGTTCAGTCATAATTAGTATGCTGTGAATTGATAAGTTTTGGTAAAGATGAGCTTACACTGTCATTCGGATTTAGAGTATGAGGTACTTTTGGGCTTCGGCATTCATCTCCCTCGGAACTGTAAAAAGTAGGAGCCTGTTCAATTTCAATACGCAATTGTTCTGCCCCATTCCGTGACTGAATGCTTGCTTCTGATTTGTTGGATCTAATAATGCGCACTTGTGTTTCTATGGACCTGTTGGCACTCATTTGTTCTGCTCCTTTGAAGCCGATTTTGTCACGCCTTTTTTGTTTCATTTCTTGAAAACTTGAAATCTGATGCTTTAACGGTCTTGCAAAGTTATGTGAAGCTCCATTTCTTCTATTCCTCACTTCATCCTTTTTTCTAGGGGCCTCACTTCTATTCACTTTCACAAAATCTACCTTCTTCTGTGTGGTTGGGACTGGGACATGATTCCCTTCTGTAGCTGCTAGAATGCTACCTTTTACCTTCTCTGTTTCATATCCAAGTTCCCTTGGAGATGCATTTTGAGCTGAGTTTCCGCTCATTGGACTTTTTGTGTCAACCTTCAAGTTAATATTACTTCCATATCTGACACGATCTTCTTGGTGTCTGCTATTTGGTAGCCCTTTCACCGGTCTTGCATCAACAGCTTCTGTAGAACTTCTCTTAGTAGGTGCCACTTGGTTCATATGTGGCTGTTGCTTTTGCATACTTGTAGCATCATGCACACGTCTTGATGAACTCTTGGATTCCACTTCACTTCCTTTTGGTTTCCTTACCAGAAACTTCTGTTTTGCACTCTGCTGATCGCTCTTTTCTGTTTGATGCTTTTCTTCTTGAGCCACGGATTTTCTTAGTGTGTGCAGCTGATGCAATCCTTGATCATCCTGGGGCTTTTGTGGACTGATTGGGATGAGCCTGATTGCGTTTTTCTTTTCTGCTTGAACTGTGTTTTCCCTGTTCTCAAGTTTTTCTTGTGTTATATTTGAAGCTTCTGGAGTTTTGTGTTTCTGTGGTGCTTTCCGCTGCAGCTCATCCTTTGAGACTGGTTGCTTGGTTTCACCCCTTTCTGTGCCTTTCTGTTCCTTGTGCTTTGTATTATCATGTCCTCCCTCCTGCTGAAATTCCTTTCTACTCACTGTAGTCTGATGTAATTGGCTGATGTTGTTTTGTTGCTTACTTATTGTGGAGGTGGCCTTTCTTGAGCCCGGGACTGTGTTTAGTTTATCAGCCTTTTCCAAGTCTTTCCTGTGTGATTTTCCATCTGGAATCAACTCCTCGGTGTTGGCATTTCGAGTCACCTTAATCTTTTCAGCTTTCAGCACAAATGTAGTATCCCGAGTTAGTGGTATCTCATTGGCTTGCACACTTTTCTCAGTAGTTGGAAATTCTGGATTCTTAGTACCTCTCGTATTTGGTTCAGCATTCTTGGCACTTGCATGAGCAGTCTTCTTTGGGAGCATCTGGTCTTGCTTCTTTGAGTTTGATTCTTTCCTCGTCTTTGAATCTCCATTTTTCGGAAGGTCTTCCAGTCCCATCAGTTTTGCAATTACATTTGGCATTCTCCCCTTCTCTGGTTTGTATTGTGATGAACTTGAATTATTCTTTGATTCCAAGAATGCAGACAGGGCTTTGAAATCAGGGCTAGCTGCCCTCTTATGAGACCCCAAATTTGAGGTAGTTAGAGCTAGTTGTCCGGGGACATTAGGAGCTTCTGTTGGATATGCTAGGGCCATCAGCTTCTGCCTGAGGTCAGTCTTTGCAACCTCTTGGATGCCATTAGAATTCCTTGTGGGCTTATCAAAAGAGAATCTTGGCCGGTCCACTTGCTTCTGTTCAAGTAATCTGATAGTCCCATCTTCTTCTTCCCCATCCTCCTCGAGCAATCTAATCCGGTTTTTTCTCTGAGGGTTGATCATGTACTCTGAAGCGTCCTGCAGGTTAACAAGCATTCTCAGAGACTCTTCCAAATCTATGGCCCCTTTCAACAGTTCCCTTCCAATTTCTATTGAGTACCTATCAAAGTTCATTCCATTAGAGCAAGCTTTGAGAATGTGGTTCAATTTCTGTGCCCCTCTTGATATTTCTTTGATATGGAGATGGGAGAGGGTAGGAAACTGACTATTTGAAGGTCGGTGCTTATCAAAAGTGTTTCTTTCCATCTTCCCGTAATCCAGTGATCTCCTACCAATTTGATGGAGGAAATTTAACATTGAACTATTGCCTGAGGAATCCATTTTACTGAATTTTCCTCCATGTTCAAGGGCAAAAGCCAGGGCCATGGACAGATCTCCAACCTGTTGTGAGTTTCGGCCTCCTCCGAAAGGAACGATCTGTTTTGAAGATGCTTCATTGTTGAGTGATCTATTGCCTCCGCTAGACCTTCTCCCTGAGCTCGCTGGCCTGGAACCAATCTGCAAGGAACTGAAATATATGATATACTAAACTTCGCAGAACTGCTTAGCTGTCTCAGTAAAGAACACAATCTTCAGGTAGGTTGACGAAGGACTTACAGATTCTAGTGATTTTATTTGTCGAGATCCTTTGTAGGTACGACCATGGTTTCCATATGCATCTGTTGATCCAGAAACATAAGAAATAAAGAACACAAAATACTTGCCTCAATGCATGCATCAACATTTTACTGATACAATGTCTATTAGTTCTCGAAGGCAGGTATTAGACACATGACTTCTACTCTAAACAAGACTAGATTTACAAAAATCAGGATTAAAACATTTATGGTAGAAGGCCACTCCCCTTATATGTTTGATTGTAAATATATCCTTCCATGTATCTCCTAAGGTTCTTGAAACACAAACATGTATGCACATGTTCAATGTCATGAACACTGAGTACTTCTCTAAAAAAAGGTATTTGTACTGAAATTTTCAAGTTCCATTTCATTACTTGGGAACATCTTCTTCCCCAATCCCCATCCCCAACAAGTACACACACACACACACACAAACGAGAGGAATAAATAAAATGATATGTGAAAGAATTCTTTTTACAGTTTAGTTTCCAAATGATACTGCTAACTTCTGGAATTGCATGAAGTCATTGAACAATAATGTCGAAGACAAAAATTATGATATTGTTCACGAGTTACCAACTTCAGTTATAATACATTCACCATCATACGCCCCACAATCGAGTTGATACTTCTAGACATAGCAATGTTCTACTAATAAAGTTTTTGCTTAGATGGAACAGGTAAATCTGATGTCCTTGAAATACTATTTACAGTTCTGCAGTTTTGATCCTGCTAACTTCTGGAATTGCAGGAAGTCATTGAACAATAATGCCGAAGACAAAAGTTATGATATTGTTCACGGGTCACCAACTTCAGTTATAATACATTCACCATCATTTGCTCCACAATGGAGTTGATACTTCTAGACTAATAAGGGTTTTGATTAGATGTAACAGGTAAATTTGATATCCTTGAAAATACTTTGTACGATAGATGCAACTAATAAATATGATGTGTGTGTGTGTGTGTGTGTGTGTAAATGAGAGGAATAAATGACATGTCAAAAAAAATTTCTCTTCACAATTTTGCAGTTTCCAACTGATCCTCTTAACTTTTGAAAAGCAGTTGGTACCTTCTGCTTTTGTTTAAGAGTCACTATCTTCAATTATAAGTTATTCACTCTCGCACCTGCATTGAAGTTGATACTACATATCCTTATGCTCATAATGCTAGACCTGACAAATTTCTTATGTTGATGTTTTTTCATTATGTTTTTTATTTTTTTTTTTTATGTAGAACAGATAAAATTGGATGATCATATTCCCAGTTGCAAAGTGTTTACAAAATGTAAAGACCCCAATTTAGATGCTTACCTCCGACTACCGGAGTTGAACGGCTCGAGTTTTGCGATGCAGCCATCCCCATACGTTCTTTCCGCATTCGAAGATCGCTCAGAAGCTTCTGAGCAAAGTCTGATCTTGCTGCCATGGTTAGCTCTCTCCCGGAACTCAATTCGAAACTCAGACAACTGTTTCAGCTACCACAATGGAGATAAGATTCTTAGATAGAGTCCTGGAATTGTTCTTTTACACATGAGAGAAGAAAGGAATGTGGTGTCTCTCATTTAGTTGGGAGGGTTCTTTCGGTGTTGGGTGAGGTGGGAAGTCCTTTGCAAAAGTTTCGAATCTTAAGGTTGACGTGAACGTTAGCTGGGGGGGTGTGGTCTTCTCTGTGACACTCGAATACCCTGACTTTCATTGCAATTCAAGCAATGGCAGAGGTTTCAAAGAGCTTCTCATCAAAGCCTTTACTATCAGAAAATTCTTTTTTTTTTTCTTTGCTTTTCTCAATTTATCCTTAGAAGTTCTTCCAATAAATTCCAATAACCTTTTTCATTGTTTCTAATGGCTATTTGGAGTTAAGTGGTGACTACTATTGTATGGATATGTGACATCATAACTAACATTTTCACTAGTGAAAATGGATGAAAGCTCCAGTTTGACATGTAGTGTGTATTATAATTTTACCTTTTTATTAACAAATGATGATACCTTGATTGCTAGATTATTAAGATAATCCCCATTCCACCTTTAGCTTTTGGCCTTTCATTTATTTTAATGAATTTGAACTTAAATTCCCAAAAAAAAAAAAAAAAAAGGACGGACATTCTTTAGAAGTTCGTATTGGGTTTAACTTGAGGAACTCAGATCCACTTTTGTGCCGTTTGATGTTGTTATGCGTTTTACATTGTTTATGTAACTACATTATATCGTTATTTCATGGTGTTGCATTTCGTCTTTATATATTGTTTATTTAATAATTTGCATTGCTTATGTAATAATTTTACATTGTTTATGTAATTACATTATATCGTTATTTCATGGTGTTGCATTTCGTCATGAGTTTGTTAGTGAGTTGTACTAATTATACTGGGTACATGTGAAGTCCTTAGAATCCAGATTCTAACTCCAGGTCTAATTCAATTTAAGTTTAATTTTACTTATCCTATTGATTAATTATTAAGATAATCCTCATTCTATCCTTAGCTTTTGGCTTTTTATTCATTTTAATGAATTTAAATTCAAATTTAAATCTAAATTTGAATTTAGCTTAATGGCTTTTTATTGCTTAATTATTGTTTTAATCTAAATTTTAGAAAGTGAAACAAACAGCAACTTACAAGTACAATCTTGTCGGGGAAACAAGTTCACGTATTATAATAATAATAATTATTATTATTTGAATTTAAATTTGAGTATAATCTTGTCGGGGAAACAAGTTCATGTATTATAATAATAATAATTATTATTATTATTCACTTTCTAAAATTTAGACTTTAGAATTGTTTTATGGGATACAGAAGGTTGAAATTGATATGATGATTGATTAGCTAATAAAGTGAAAGTTCTCTTGTCGTAAAGGAAATTGACACATGAAGTTGGAGTGGTTGGAATGTCTTCGAATATTTTTATCTGTGCTATAAGTTGTGGATTCCATGTTATACTGATATATGGGTAACCTTTTTACACTGTATTTACCGACAATTGCATTTCTTTTTTTCTTTTTTTTCTTTTCTAAATTGAAAAATCTCTTGTAAAAAAAATTGAAAGATCAAAATAAATAAATGAATTGAGTGCAAAATATTACATTCATTACAGAATTTGACCATTATATAATTTGTAATTATAGATATTCATATATTTTGTGAAGAGAAGTGAGAGAGCAACCGAATCTCATTCCCAAAATAATTACCGAGCTGTGACGTGGTTTGGTCATGTCAAACTCCTTAAAATATAAGACTCAGATAATAAACTTCCTCTATAATTTTGCGTGAACTGAAAGAAAAAATAAAAGAATAAAAGCCTACTCAATGATGGTGGAAAGAAAAAGGCAATGGTGTGAAGATATGACAGTTAAATACACAAATCTGACATATATATATCAAATATATATGTATACATACATACATACATATATACATATATATATATATATATATATGTATAAGTTCTTACAAATTAAAAAAAGTTAAATAACCGAATACATTCTCACAACGATATCAATCCGGGATTCACACTCCCTCTATACTTTATAACGAGTTTTCTTCTCCAATACCTATTCAATTGGTACTCTTTTTCACAATTTTTGAAAATAAGAATTAGGGTAAAACATGAAACCGGCATAGTGATGGTAGAATCGAAGAAATTGGGTTTTTTTTATATATTTTATTATATAGTTTTAATAATGTTTTGTATAAATTTTTGTGGTTTATGAATCCCGAGCCTATAAAGTCTAGAGAAAGTAAAAGTTGTAGACTTACAAGATTTCCAAATTACTTAGAAGTTTTTTTGAAATATAAAGTCTTGGTTTATATCTAAAAAACGGGTGGTTCAAACTGTGATTTTCCTTTTTCTTAAAAGTCTGACGTGGTCAATCATGATTGTTTCGGGGATATTTTTCATTTTGCTTTTGAGTCCGTTTGGTTAAATAGAAATTTTTGATGGAGAGTGAAAGTGAAAGAAAGTAAAGGAAGTAAAAAAGAAAATTAAGTTTCAATTATGTATTTGGTTAGCAAGAAAATTTTTCAAGAAAGTTGTGAGAAAATATTATTTTGTGAGTTTGCAAAGAATGAAAATGAAAAGAAAGTGATTGTAGTTCCCAAAACTACCATTTTAATTATAAGATTATTTTGTACTCTTTTGAGATACTATCATATCTCTAGAATTATGAACAAAATTAAAATTTTACGTTCAAAGATAAATTAATGGATATTATAGTATTTGTCTTCTAATGTTTAATAATTTGATATATGTGATTATAGGTACAAGTTTAATTAATAAAAAATTTTGATCCGAATATTCTTGAGGATAAAAGGTTGAAGTTAATATATATACTTTTAGTCATAAAATAAAAATAAAAATAAAAAAACTTCAGTCTAATAGAAATAAAATACTTGTAATTAAATTAGTTTGGTATATCTAATATACGTAGAGTTAAAATTAAATGAATTTGGTACATTTCAGTAGTTGAGTCCTATAGTCACGAGAAGTCTATGTATAAAAATATATATATATATGAATTAAATTGTAATTTAAAAACTTGTATACGTAAAGACACTAACCTAGTTTTTTACCCAACACTTTGTTACTAAATACTCAGATTTATATATATACTCTCAATCATTATTAATTATGGAAGGAAAAAAATAAAATAAAATAAAATTTTGATTTTGATATAAAACTATATACAATTAAATTGGTATTTACATGATCTTATAAGCAATTTACAAAAGAATTAAACTCACTTGTTATAGAAGTTTGTGGAGAAAGTGAGAAGGGTGACATGGGCATAATAGGAAACTAAGATGTGAAGGCATCACTTTCACGGGAAAGTAACATTTCCCGTATTTTATCTCTAAAAAATTTTGAGGAAAATTAAGCAGTTGTAAGAAAATTATTTTCCTTAAAATTTTCTCTTTCATGCTAACCAAACTACTCCTAAGGGTCCGTTTGGTTAAATAGAAAATTATGATAGAAAGTGAAAGGAAAAAAAAATCAAGTTTCGCAAGAATTTTTTTAAAGAAAGTTATGAGAAAATACTATTTTGTGAGTTTGGAAAGTATGAAAGTAAAAAGAAGTGATTGCAGTTACCAAAACTACCTTTTTAGTTATAAGATTACTTTGTGCTCTTTTGAGACATTGCTCTGACTCATGAACAAATTTAAAATTTTAAATTCAAAATGAAACAAAGATTATGATATTTAATAATTTTATATATGTGATTATGGGTAGAAGTTAATTAATAAAAAATTTTGTTCCGAAAAATATTTAGGAAAAAAGATTGAAGTTAATATATATACTTTTAGTCATAGAAAAATGCTTCAACTAAATTAATTTGATACATCTAATATATGTAGAATTAAAATTAAATTAGTTTGGTACATCTAATTACTTTGAGTCCGAAAGTCTAGAGAAGTCTATGTATGAAAAAGTACATGTACGAATTAAATTGTAAATTGCATCCGTAGAGACACTAATCCTAATTGTTCACCCAACACTCTGCTTTATATTACATTTTAAAGAAAATCAACCAGTTGCGAAAATATTACTTTCCTAAAATAATTACCGAGGGTATAATTGAAAATACAACTTTCACGCTAAACAGAAATTTTCGCGTGTTTTATAGAGGAAACATTTTAAGAAAAATCAACCAGTTACGATAACCAAACTACCAAATAATTTAAAAATTTTCCGTTTCTTTTCCTTTCTAGCTAGTTGACGCTAACCAAACTAACCCTATGAGATTGGCAGTGGGAAAGGAAAATAAAAATTAAAATCTTTACAAGTGTAGTTCTTAACCTAACTAAGACATTAATGCCATCTATATATATATACATTATATATATATATATATATATATATATATATATAGAGTCCTGATCTCTTGCTCCCCATGGAGCAAGAAAAATAATCCACACTTTTTATATAGACCGTTAGATTAAATCTAACGGTCATTTTACAAACCCACTTATGGCCTTTCCTTTTAAACCAAAACCACTCTCACACTATTTTACCATTACCACCTACTCTAACAATAAAAGGTAATTATCAAATTAAAAATAGAAAGCTTTGAAAAAAAATTAATACCGTATATTTTACTAATAAATTTGTTTTTATAAATATCTTTTGGCTTTCACCTCTATTTTTCACGATTATGTCAAACAAACAAAGAAGAATTACAAGAGAATTGATAGGGATTAGGCGGTAATCGCAGGCTAAGGTACTATACAATTTTTCTGTTTCCTCTTCTTTATTTATTTTGTTTTGAAAAAGTAAATTTGTTTTCCCTTTAAATCTTTAAGTTCTGTGTGGTTCCTTATTCTAATTACTATTCTTCAGCCTCCTTTGCCCAGTTTTATAAATCACTAATTCAATACATAAAGTAAAAATCTTGTTTCATTAATTTTAATTGATTCAAATATATTACTAATCCACATTTTGTATTACTAAATGTGTTCAAGAATGATTGTTACATAGGACTGTCCATTAATTTAATTTATAGAACTATGTCTTAATTAATTTTAGTTGATTAATGCATTGTGTTTTATTCAAATATAACAATATTTAAATTCCATATTTCTTTTTAGGAATGAATGAAGTAGAAGAATTTGGAATAACACAAAAAGATGGAACATTCATTCCACAAGTTACTTATGAAAGAAAACCAAAAGAAGGGCAACAGTTTAAATCTTTAGATGATGCTTATGATTTTTATAACAAGTATGCACGAGAAGCTGGTTTCAGTGTACGGATTGATAAGAGTAAGAAGCATAAAGAAACTGGTGAAACGATTTGGAAACAATATGTTTGTTATAAAGAAGGAGAAACAGATGAAACTTATAGAAGAACAAAGAAAAAAGAAAAGCAGATGGTGGAGACCATTGGAGATAGTGGTAAGAAATTAGAAAGACAACGAGGAAATGTAC